GGATTACATCTCAATGTAAAGAAAACAAAAATCCTCACCACTGGACCAATAAACAACATTCTTATCAGTGGAGAAAAGATTGAAGTTGTCAAGGACTTCATTTTTCTTGGATCAACTATCAACACTCATGGAAGCAGCAGTCAAGAAATCAAATGACATATTGCATTAGGCGAATGTGCTGCACAAGACCCTTTTAAAGTGCTGAAGGGCAAAATCAGCTTGAGGACTAAGATGTGCCGGAGCCAAGCCATAGTATTTTCCATAACCTCATATGCATGTGAAAACTGGGCAGTAAATAAGGAAGACCATAGAAGAATTGACAAATTTGAATTATGATTTTGGAGGAGAATACTGAAAGTGCCATGGGCTGCCAAAAGAACCAACATATCCATGTTGGAAGAAGTGCAGCCAGAGTGCTCCTTGGAGGCCAGGATGGCCAAACTTGATCTCTCATACTTCACACATATTTTCAGGAGGGACCAGTCACTGGAGAAGGATATCATGTTTGGTAGGGTGGAGGAAGACCCCCAACGAGATGGATTGGCCAGGTGGCAACATTGATGGACTCAAGCTTGGCAACAATAGTGAGGTTGGGCCAGGATTGGGCAGTGTTTCATTCTGCTGTGCATACAGTCGCTATGAGTTGGTACCGACCTGATGGCACATAACAACAACAACAACAGGTTTGTTTTACTTCTATATCTGGATTGAGTGCTGGGTACTGTTTTCATGTATGGTAATCTCAGATTGTCTGTTGTTGCTGGTTCTCAGTCTACAATAGACCCTTTAACATTTTTTTGTAAAGTTGGTCTCGTCATTACAAATTCTTTTAATTTCTGTGTATGAGGAAATGTCCTAATTTCACCAACGTATATGAGGGACAACTCTGCTGGGTATGTGATTCTTGGTTGGCAATATTTTTCTTTCAGAGTTTTGTGTATGTCATCCCATTGCCTTCTTGCCTGCATGATAAGTCTTATTGGTTCTCCTTTGTAGGTAAGTCTTATTGGTTCTCCTTTGTAGGTAAGTCTTATTGGTTCTCCTTTGTAGGTAAGTCTTATTGGTTCTCCTTTGTAGGTAAGTAAGTCTTATTGGTTCTCCTTTGTAGGTAACTTTTACTTTTTCCCAAGCTGCTCTCAGAGTTCTTTCCTTATCTTTGATTTTGGAAATTTTGATTATGTCTTGATGCTTTTCTTCTGGGATCTATTATGTTTGGGGTTTGTTCAGCTTCTTGTGTGCTTATCTTCTCATCTTTTATAATGCTAGGGAAGTTTTCTTCCAACAACTCTTTGATAGTTTTCTTTTTGTTTGTCTCTTCCTGTTCAGGAATTCTAATCACCCATAAGTTGTTCTTCTTCATGGTATCCCACATAACTCTTAGGCTTTCTTTGGATTTTTCATTCTTTTTTCTGCTTGCTCTAGCACACAAGTATTGAGAGATTTATCTTTGAGCTCACTATTTTGGGCTTCCTTGTTACACATCTATGCCTTTGCCCTTTCAATGTATTGTCCATTTCTAAGATCTTAGTATTAATCTGGATTTCTAATGGCAGGTTTTGTATTGTTTCAAAATTTGCATTTATTTTGTTGGTTTGTTCTTGTAGTATTTTCCTGAATTCTTCTAAACGTCTTATTGTGTTCTCCTTGCTTTCCTCCATCTTTTAATAGCTCATTTGAAGGTACCCAATTATCATTCTTTTGAATTATTTTTCAGTTAGTTCCATTATCTTTTCTTCCTCAGAATTGTTTTCTGTCTCTGCATCTTGGTCATTTGTTTGAGCCAGTCTCTCTTGTTTCTTCATGTCAACTGAAATTGTCTGCTGTCTCTGGGGGCATAGTGGGGTTGTCATATTTGTAAAAACAAATATTGAAGATGTTGGACCAGGAGAATTCTCTGGGAGCTCCTGCAGTTCAAGAAGCTCACGAGGTGGTTGTGACAGCAGAGGTCCTGGTCCTAGATGGAGTTTCTATTGGCCTTGGTGTTATCTATGTTCAGGGCACTCAATCTGGAAGTAGTTCATGGAGGCTGGTTTCTTTGATGAAGGTAGTTTCAGTGTTAGGACCACAGGGAAGCTGAGGGCAGCATGACTGATAAACTGCTGGTCTGGTGGCTCTTTGAGTTTTGAAGGTCTGGAGCTGACCACACCTGAATCCAGGCACCAAAGCGGCCCACCAAAGAGATGCAGCTGACCTCCACCTCACAGTGGCGTGGCTCCCAACCACATGGCTGCAAACTCTGGGAGAGCAGGGTCTGTGCTGGGTGTGGATTATGTGTGGGTTGGCCACACTCTGGTTACCAGGGGAACATGGGGAAAAAGAAGACGTTGCACCTTTCCTGTCGCCTGTGTGAATCTGCCACTAAATCTGGTCATAAGATGGTGACACTGTGTCTAACCAGCTGGTCACTAGTCAGTTTCTCTCTCTCACCATCCCTGCTCGGCCACTCCTCCAAGCAAGCACTTAATCCACCTGTTTAATCTTTCTTTTGAAGTTCAAGGTGCTAGAATTTTCATTGGTGTCTGCTTTATTTTGTCTCTTGTCTCTTTGTTGTAGAGGGTCTGTGTAGGGCTCCTGCCTAGTCTGCCATTTTGCCAGAAGTACAATCCAATGTTTTTGAGGAGTCACTTTAGTATCATTATTTATACACCAAATGTTCAGTCATTTATCATCATTATTAACAAATTGATCATTCTTAATCATAATAAACTAAAAGAGTTACTGAATTTATTTTTTTCTTCCAGTGGACTGAAACAAGTTTATTTAGATTTGTTTTCATACTTCACCTATGAGGTAAGACAGAGTTAACACTTACCTGCATTTACCAGTAGAGAAATTGAGGCTCAGTTACTGCAAGGAATCTACCTGTAGACACACTAGTTAGTCTTTCCCAAAGATGTTAGCAAAAGCCTGGTCATTTGATTCCATGATCCAGGCTCATTGGCATGGACTCAACAAAGACCATCAGTGATGTATTTACCTGCATGGCAAGGCCAGTACTGTAGATGTCTCCGATTATGCCATTGTCTTTGATTCTTATGCTGATATCTTCCACAATGTGCTTTAGTACTTGACCGAACAGGGCTCTATAACTTTCATCTGATCCTACAGGGATCTTGTTATACATACAGGTCAAAGCCAAGGTTGCTATGGCTCCTGTGTCTGTGAAACACAAAAGGGGGATTAGACAACCACTCCCCCCCAGAGATGAACAGCTAACACTGATTGTGTGCTTATTGTGCACCAAGTACAGTTTCTCATTTACTCTCAGGACATCCTATGAAATAAGACTGCAGTCATCTCCACTTGAAAGATGAGATGTGACTCTGTGGGCTAATGCACCAGACTGCAAAGCTGTTTGAACTGCAAGGTCAGCGGTTCAAGTGCACCAGCTGCTCCTCGGAAACCCTATACAGGGTTGCTATGGGTCGGAACCGACTCGGCAGCACTTAAAAACAACAACAACAACAACAAAAAGATGAGGAGACTGAGACACAGTGAGGTTAAGTAACTGGCCAAGGTTATGTAGTTAATAGTCACAGTGCCAAGTCTTGAACCCTGTTCTGTATGACTCAGCAGCACATGGCTTTAATTAATGTAGATTAGCAGTCATATTAAGTCTCACTCTCTAGTACCAAATTTGTTTTTCAAAATGTCACTAGTTCCTGCCGGTCCAGCCGTCACCACTTTTCACTGAAGCCTTTTCTGGTCATCCCAGCAACCAGGCCTGGTTTCCCTTCTGACCTTCTTATTGATTGGACCTGTTTCACGGCTGAGACTCCCATAGGCTTGCTTAATCTTTTACAATTTTATAAATTCCATCACTTGTTTAAGAGGCCCGATCCCCTTTTCTGACAATCTTGGCAACAGGATGTCAAGACAATATACACCACTTGTAGTTTATAATTAACTTATTTTTCAGCTCTTTACTTCCTTTTAACCTGTTTTTCCCAAGAAAACACTCCCTCTCTTTCCTCCTGCCACACTGAAGTGGGTCTTGTTGAAGAAAAACACAAGCACCAGATCTGGCCAATTAGACACGTGTAGTCAAGTCAACTGTGTGCTCCATAATTGACCCCGAAATGAAGGAATTTGATCAAAGAAAAAAAAAAAATTTCCTGGAACGCTCCCATCTGACCAACTTAGACCACATTTAAAAGCAAGAAGTCCAATGGCTTTCTCTGTGCCAGAATCCACACTCTAGTCCAATGCATAGTCATGATCCTTTCTCAAGTAGCTATTGTTTTTAAGTGCTGTCGAGTTGGTTCCGACCCATAGCTACTTTGTGCAGGGTTTCTGAGGAGTGGTTGGTGGATTTGAACTGCTGACCTTCCAGTTCAAACCAACATTGCACAAAAGTAAAGACTTCTAAACTCTTACTCGACAGAGATAACCCTGGTAATGCTTGAGGTTCCAGATGGGAAAGAGAGGCCACTCTGCTCTTGCCCGATAGAGAAGGCACTGAAGATCTGCTTGTTTGTTTGTTTGATAGACACCTATATAAGAGAAATTGCTAATGAGACGTATGAAGGAAATTGAAAAAAGTTTGTGGAAAAATTCCATTATCTTTTAATTCCATTTTTCCATGAACTTTTTGAAGCCCTCCGATATATAAACCAAAAAACCCATTGCTGTTGAATCAATTCCAACTCACAGTGGCCCTATAAAGTTTCTAAGACTGTAACCTTTATGGGAGCAGACAGCCACATCTTTCTCCCAAGGATGGCTAGTGGGTTTGAACCACAAACACTTGCACAGTGTGCCACCAGGAATCCTTAAGGCATATACAAGGGAATTTCAAAAAATTCATGGAAAAATGAAATGAAAAGATAATATAGATTTTCCATGAACTTTTTGAAGTCCTCCCTTGTATAAGGAAATTAAAGCTAAGATAAAGCTTAGAGAGTGGTAGAGGAGAAGGGGCCACGAATGAAGGGGAATGGTGGTCCTCACAAAGGGCTTCCCCAGAGAGGAAAGAGAGCACTTGGGTTAGACAGAAGAAGGATGTGGTGTTGTAGAGGAAAGGCCTCCCAGACAAAACCAACTAGAGTGTAGGACTAAGAGAGTCTTAATGTTTCCTTGAAGGGGAACATCATGGATTTAGGGTTGAGAGAGTAGTTGTTTAGCAGAAAAAGACTATTTTGATGTTTTAAGTAGAAACCCGGAGACGAACAGAGAGAGGGCAGAAGCGTCAGTTGTGAGGTGTTGCTTTGAGTATAATGTAAGATAGGGCCAAGTCTAAAGGGTAACTTAGTGTTTAATTTGCCTGGAAGAATCCCTGACTTGCACGGGGTGCTTCTTGTGAGGGTCTGTGCCTACCCAACGTTTCAAGTGTCCTAGTTTCTTTTTGTTGTCTCCCTTGCATTCGTTTATTCCTTAAGTGTCCCACAAAAATTAGTGACCTTTCTCCTGTAAGCAGACCAGCGCATGGTTCCAGTGGTTCCAGTCTCACTTTCTCCACCAGCGTTAGATTTCCTGAGTTCAGGGCATTATTTGAAGCTGTGAACAACTCACCCATATTGAAAGGAGAGGGATTAACCAGCAGGGACTTGGCAAATCGGGCTGCTATTGGCAAAGTGGTCTCGGGGTTCTTCTGGCACAGTGCCAAGATTGCCAAACTGGGCCCGTAGAAGGATGTAGCTTCAGCACTAGGGCCTTAGAGTGGGAGAGAGACTTCATTAGACTAACATTCACCATTGTGAAGTCAACGGTTTAAATTGAAATGACCAGAAAGCTTGTCTGAAAAGAAAGGCACAATATTGGCAAACTAAGACTTCACTATTTCTCAAGATTGGTATGCATGGAATGTCATCTGGAATCTGAATAGAATGAAAGATGTCTTCAGGCAGGTGAGGGGCATGACAAGACTGGGAACCTGGGTAGTGGCCTTATGAGGTTCACAACTTTGGGTTGGAAGTGAATCTCTCCCTTGTGACTTGGAGACAGAACTGGAGTGGAGGGGCATGGTCTCTCCTTGTTCACTTTTCATTATCCTGCCCCATCTTCTCCTTTTTGGGTTTACAAGTCTCAGGAAGGTCCATCTGCCTCACTCTCCCTTCCTTTACAATGAGATCTTACTTGAAGGTGCCCAGTTCTCCATTTCTCTTTGTAGAAGCGATAAACTGTCCCCAGGGTCTCGACAGGAGGAGGTGAGGGCTAGAACAGTGAGGGCGAGTTGACCGATGGTTAGATCTACAGAGAAAAAAGCAAACGTGAAAACAAAGGCATTCTCAGGGGAAAGGGATCTAGGGGGCCAAGGCCAAGATCTCTGCTTTTTATCCAGATTGTTAGATTTTTTTTTTCTATAAGGTGGTTAGAGTGCTTTTTTAAAAAAAAGTCTTTCCTAAGGAAAAAAAATATAAAAAAAATACTTAAGAAATATCCAATCTATGTGTGACTTGAGGACTCCATCCAAAATCCCTGGTGTCTGATTAGAAAAGCAGTAAAAATACCCATACAAATTTATATATGAAAGATGGTTGTTGTTGTTGTTGTTATGTGCTGTGGAGTCAGTTCCGACTCACAGTGACCCTGTACAGGGTTTCCGAGGCTGTAAATCTTTACAGGAGCAGAAAGCCTCATCTTTCTCCTCCGGAACAGCTGGTAGTTTCGAACTGCTGACCTTGAGGTTTGCAGCCGGATTCGTAACCAGTATCCTACCAGAGCTCCTTTATGAAAGGTTGTTAGTTGCAAAGTAGTTTTAACTTTATCATGCAGCTTGTTCCTCAAGGCAAGTCCTGGGAGGAAAGCAGACTCCATTGTTTACTATGGCTGTTCCTGTGATTAGAACCAGCTGTCTTTTGCAAACTAGGAGCATGAGGTTGAAAGGGCAGACTGAGTGGAAGCCGCTCTTTTTAGATCTCACTGGGAGTTCCTTCTGCTTTGCTGCACCTCCTCTATGAAGCTCTCACCCTCATACCTCTTTCTTTCCAGGCATTTTCCAAGCAGGTAGGGAAAGGGTGAGATCAGAGGGTAGGGTATGCCTGGGTTGGAGTCAAGGGTGGTGAGCAGTGAGCAGAAACTCAGGGAGCAGGGGGAAGGTCTCACCATTGGTGTCACTACTCATGAGCTTGTAAGTGAGGAGCTTCTGTGCCTCCAGGTTGTAGGCTCCAGCCAGGTTCATGGCAATGAGGATGCTGGGGTTTGGGAAGGCTGACGAGGTCACAGAGCTCTCCATGAGAACCTGGATGTTGTTGACCAAGGACTGCTGGGCAGAGGGAACAGCTGAAAAGACAAAACAAATGGACTGAAACCCTAGTCTTTGCAGAAACACGTTCGCTGCTTGCTTTTCCTGTGCCTTTTAGGGAAAGGCAAGATTAGCATTGCTGGGCCAAGGGATGTTCCATTGGGATGGTTGTGGAGAAAACTCACAAAACAATGTGATTTCCTTTTGAACCTGTCTGTTCCTGGTGGTGGTGTTTATGTGCCGTGGAGTTGGTTCTGACTCATAGCCACCCTCTACAGGGTTTCCGAGGCTGTAAATCTTTACGGGAGCAGGAAGCCTCATCTTTCTCCCGCAGAACAGCTGGTAGTTTCGAACTGCTGACCTTGAGGTTAGCAGCCCGATTCGTTACCACTACACTACAGCTTCTCAAATACTCTTAATCTTCAAGAAAAGGATTTCTCAGTTTATAGTAACATTAGGACTCTTGGTGTAATGAGTCCTGGTGTGGCACTGTGGGCTAATGCACTGGACTGCAAAGTTGGTTTGAACCACAAGGTCAGTGGTTCAAGCTCACTAACTGCTCCTTGGAAACCCTATACAGGGTAACTATGGGTCAGAACTGACTTGGTGACACTTAACAACAACAACAACAACTAGGACTCTTGGTGTAGTGCTGTCAGATCAGCACTGGACTGAAAACAAGGTCGACAGTTCAAACTCACCAGCTGCTCCTCAGTTGCTCTGAGCTGGAACGGACTCGACAGCACTTAACAACAACTGGGTACTGTGGTTTATGAATAGTCCACATGATCTCCAGCACATTTCTAGAAATCCGTGATTTCCTCTCAACCCATTTTCTTTCTCCTCTCACAAAAGAAATTAAAGACTTGGATGTGACTTTCCCTCAGCAGCTACTAAAGCCTCCCACTTGTAATGAAACCTGTTCAAAAAGCCACAAAAGTGTCTTATTTGTACCATCAATCTTCTTTCCTGCAATAGTAGTTCAGTCTCTCATAATACAAAAATGCATAGACTTGACCTTCAAACAATTTATGGTGTGAAATCAGTAAAGATGATAGTCCCACACTCACTCCCTGACTTACCCAGGTGGGAAATCCTCTAGTGGAGTCCTGGTGTGGCGCTGTGGGTTACTGCACTGGACTGCAAGGTCACTTTGAACCACAAGGTCGGTGGTTCAAGCTCAACAGCTGCTCCTTGGAAACCCTGTTACAGGGCCGCTATGAGTTTGAAGTGACTCGATGGCACTTAACACCAACATAGTGGAATCCTGGGATGATGCTGTAGGATAAGCACTGAACTGCTAACCTCACAGTCAGCTGCTCCTCAGAAACCCTATACAGGGTCGCTCTGAGTTGGAACAGACTCGATACTATTTGGCAACAACAACAAAATAGTGATTGCTATGAGCCCTGGTGGCACAATGGGTTAAGTATCAGGGTACTCACTGAAACACTGGCCCCTGGAGCCTAGCAGCTGCTTCCTGGGAGAAAGATGAGGCAGGCTGCTTTCATGAAAGATTTAGGATCTTAGAAATCCTACAGAGCAGTTCTACCTGTGTGTACGGTCACTATGAGTCAGAATTCACCCAACGTCAGGGGACTTTGGAGTGGGTATGTTGTTGTTGTTGTTGTTGTTAAGTGCCGTCGAGTTGGTTCCGACCCATAGTGACCCTGTACAGGGTTGTTGTTGTTGTTAAGTGCTGTCAAAGCAGTTTCCACTAATAGTGATCCTGTATGGGATTTCCAAGATACACTTGGTGTGTTTGAACTGCTGACGTTGCAGTTACTACTTCAGTGCTTGTCATCCAGCACCATATTAGGACTTCTTGGAGTGAATACTGTTGTGAAGTATTGGTTAGGCTGGCAAGTTGGTTCCAACTCATAGTGACCCTGTATAGGGTTTCCGTGGCTTTAAATCTTCATGGGAGCAGAAAGTTCATTCTTTTTTCCTGCAGTGTCTGGCAGGCTCAAACCATAACCGTGTGGTTTGCAGTTGCATGCTTATCGTATGGAGCCACCCGACTCCCCACAATTGCTATTTTCAACTGTTTGCTCATCAGCGAACCTTAGTGTGTGAGATCTTTGCCTCTCCCCAGGAAGCTTCTTCCTTCGCTTGTTTGGAAATACCATACTCACAGCATGAACTTTGGCTCTGGTTGCTGGTCCCAGCCACAGCCCAGAGACGACTCAGGAGATAGAGGGCAAACCAGGCCATCGCTCTGTCTCCTTCCTGTCCACGTTGGCCCAGTCCACAGAGTCCAGGCTTTGCAAGTGTAGCATGTTTCTACCTTGTCTTATATGTGCTTCTTTTTGTAAAACAATCTGCCACCTCCCCAACCCCACACACTCCTAGCCACTCCAAACCACCTGTGCTGACCTTCCTGATAGAACAATTTTCCATTTGCTTATCTTGGTTTACTGACTATAGACACTCCAAGGTGTCTGGAAGGGACTGCTAGGTAGCACAGTTATAAGGAGTTAAAGGCAATGATGAAAAGGTGCCTCTCACCAAAACCCTGGGCTGGTGCTGCTGGAGCTTTGCCTAATGGGCAAGTGTAAACAAAGCTTCCTTCTTGGCCTTTTGACAGACTACTGCTTACCTGTTTACTAGCAACCACCTCCTTAATGGTCTGAGGCACTTGCTTTACAATATGCCCTTTCAGGCTCCCTGTAGCGATCTGCCAGTTGAAGTCTGGCTTTATACAGTTAATCAGGTTGAATGACTGGGATCTCACCTAGGCTCTTTGAAGTTGTTTGGACCTTAATTTCCCAGAAATTGTCTTGTTTGATTGCCTTTTCCTTATCTGGACATGAAAGCAGTCAAACACACCCAGGGCTCTCAGATACGTATTTTAAAAGTAAATATTTAGAAAATATGAGGTCAGTGAGCTACATTGGGTATATATGTTTAAGTATTGTTGTTGTTGTTAAGTGCTGTTGAGTCGGTGCCAACCCATAGTGACCCCATATAAGGTTTCCAAGAAGTGGCTGGTGAGCTTGAACCACTGACCTTGTGGTTCAAATGACTTCACAGTCTAGCTCATTAGCTCACAGTGCCACAGCCCACAGCACCACACCACGACTCCATGTTTAAGTATATACACCTACATATATATATATGCATGTTGTTGTTAAGAGCCTTTAAGTCAGTTCCAACTCATTGAGACCCTGTATAGGGCTTCCTACGAGTAGCTAGTGAGCTTGAACTGCCAACCTTGTGGTTCAAACCAACCTTGCAGTCCAGAGAATTAGCCCACAGTGCCACACCGGGATTCCTTATATATATGTGTGTGTGTGTGTGTGTGTGTGTATCTCATCTGATACTTTCCATATTATTTTGGATCACCTTTCTTTGGAGTAGGCACAAAAAAAGATCACACTTCATAATATGAGTAATAGAAAACCAAAGCAGTTGCTGTAGATTCCAAATCATGGTGACTCCATGTATTTCAGAGTAGAAATGAGTCCAAGGCAATTCCCAATGGCATCTTGAGTGTAGCCTCCATCTATACTCTGTACACAGTTAAGCTTTGCTTAGGTTACTGACCCGCAGCAACTGTGCGCTAATAAAGGTTGTTGGTTAAAGTCACTAAGTATTAGAGTAACTTGTTTTACAGCAACAGATAATGAATACAAGACATATGGTGGGAGATGAGAATGGAGAAGACAGTTTGGTTTTATATGGGAAGGAGGAGTCACTGTCTCCCTTAGTACACCTCAGAGCTCTGCTACTTCCACATATTTTGCCTGTTGCACTTTGGTGAGTGTCTAAAGAGACCCTCCTGTCCCTGTTATTGGGTATCAATAAAGTCTTAGGAAAAAAAAAATGTTGTCCATCTGGCTGTTATAGGATGGGTCCTAAACCTAATCATTCAAAATCATTTTATAAATCTTAGTGATTCTTTTGTTAGGACAGCACTAGGAAACTAATACATAAACACTATCAAATAATGACAATGTACTATTGCTATATTTTTAATGCAAATAACACATGTGTTATGTGTTTTTTTGTCAATGATGCTCTCACCCTGAGGTATTTTTGTAAACAAACTGCTATTATTATTTTTTAAAACATATTTTGATAAAAATAAGCATAGCATGTAATAAAAATACCTTGGGGAAGCATGGTCCATGAAGACAATGTTCGACACCATATTTTGGTGTCTTAAAAGATTGTAAGTGGCTATCAAAAATGTAACTATTAGTCTGTTCCTATTTAGAGCAAACAAAAGTGAAGAAAATAAAAAATGTATGGGAACAATTTGTCCAAAAGACTTGTTTTTAGGTGCCATCGAGTTGGTGCCCACTCATAGCGACTTTATGCACAGCAGAATGAAACACTGCCCGATCCGGAGCCAACCTCACTATTGTTACCATGCTTGAACCCATTGATGCTGTTACTTGGTCAATCCATCTTGCTGGGGGTCTTCCTCTTTTTCTCTGACCCTCCACCTTACCAAACACGATATCCTTCTCCAGCGACTGGGCCCTCCTGACAATATGTCCCAAGTATGAGAGACAAAGTTTGGCCATCTTGGCCTCCAAGGAGCACTCTGGCTGTGCTTCTTCCAACATGGATCTGTTGGTTCTTTTGGCAGCTCTTGGCACCTTCAATATTCTGCTCCAACACCATAACTCAAAACCATCAATTCTTCTATGGTCTTCCTTATTCATTGTCCAGCTTTCACAAGCATATGAAATTATTGAAAATACCATAGCTTGGGTTGGGCACACCTTAGTCCTCAAGCTGACATCTTTGCTTTTTAACACTTTAAAAAGGTCTTGTGCACCTGATTTTCCTAATGCAATACGTAGTCTGATTTTTTGACTGCTGCTTTCGTGAGTTGATAGTTGATCCAAGAATGAAGTCCTTGACAACTTCAATCTTTTCTCCGTTGATAAGAATGTTGTTTATTGGTCCAGTGGTGAGGATTTTTGTTTTCTTTATATTGAGATGTAATCCATACGGAAGGCTGTGCTCTTTGATCTTCATCAGTAAACGTTTTAAGCCCTCTTCACTTTCAGCAAACAAGGTTGTATCATCTGCATATCGCAGGTTGTTAATGAGTCTTCCTCCAGTCCTGATGCCATGTTTTTCTCCAGATAACCCCACTTCTCATATTATTTGTTCAGCATACAGGTTGAATAAGTATGGTGAAAGAATACAATCCTGTCATATACTTTCCTTAATTTTAAACCATCCAGTGTTCCCACGTTCTCTTTGAACAACTGCATCTTGGTCCATGTACAGATAGATTCCTCATCAGCATAATTAAGTGTTCTGGAATACTCATAGTTCACAATATTGTCCATAGCTTGTCATGATCCACAGAATCAAAAGCCTTTGCGTAGTCAACAAAGCACAGATAAACATCTTTCTGATAGTCTCTGATTTCAGCCCAGATCCATTGTATATTAACAATGATATCCTTCATTCCACGGCCTCTTCGGAATCCGGCTTGAACCTCTGGAAGTTCTCTGTCAATGTATGCTTGCAGCCATTTCTGAATTACCTTTAGTAAAACTTTACTTGCATGGGATATCAAAGAGATTGTCCGATAATTTCTGCATTCTGTTGGGTCACCTCTCTTTGGAATGGGCACAAATACTGATCTCTTCTAATCAGTCAGCCAGATAGCTGTCTTCCAAATTTCTTGGCAGAGATGAGTGAGTGCCTCCTGTGCCACCTCACTTGAAAGAGTTCAATTTTTATTCCATCAATTCCTGGTGCCTTGTTCTTTACCAATTCCTTCAATGCACCTTGGACTTCCTTCATTGGCTCTTGATCATATGCTACCTCTTGAAACGGTTGAACATTAACCATTTCCTTTTGGTACAGTGACTCTGTGTATTCCTTCCATCTTCTCTTGATGCTTTCTGCATCATTCAATAATTTGCCCAGAGAATCTTTCAGTAATGAAAGTTGAGGCTTGAATTTTTTTCTTCAGTTCCCCCAGCTTAAGAAATGCTGAGTGTGTTCTTCCTTTTTGGTTTTCTGACTCCAGATCTTTGCACATTTCGTTGTAATATTTGGCTTTATCTTCTCAAGCTGATCTTTGAAATTTTCTGTTCAGCTCTTGGACTTCCTCATTTCTTCCATTTGCGTTAGGATCTCTACACTGGGGAGCAAGTTTCAGTGTTTCTTCTGATAACCATTTTGACCTTTTCCTTCTTTCTTGTCTTCTTAATGACTTTTTGCTTTCTTCATGTATGATGTTGTTTATGTCATCCCACAACTCTTCTGGTGTTTGGTCTTTAGTATTTAATGTATCAAATCTGTTCTTCAAATGACCTCTAAATTCAGATGGGATATATTCCAGGTCATATTTGGGCTCTTGTGGACTTTTCATTTTCTCCAGCTTCAGTTTGAATTTGCATATGAGTAATTGATGGTCTGTTCCACAGTCTGCCTCTGGCCTTGTTTTCACTGATGATATGGAGCTTTTCCATGATCTCTTTCTGCAGATGTAGTCAATTTGATTTCTGTGTATTCCATCTGGCAAGTTCTATGTTTGCAGTTGTCTCTTATGCTGTCTAAAGAAGGTATTTGAAATGAACAAATCATTGATTTTGCAGAATTCTATCATGCATTCTCCAGCATCATTTCTATCACCAAGGCCATATTTTCCAACTACTGATCCTTCCTCTTTGCTCCCAACCTTTGCATTCTAATCACTAGTAATGATCAATACATCTTGATTGTATGTTTGATCAATTTCAGATTGAAGACGTTGGTAGAATTCTTCTATTTCATCCTTACTGGCTTTAGTGATTGGGGCATGCATTTGAATAATAGTGGCATTAACTTGTCTTCCCTTTAGGCCTGTGGATAATATTGTATCACAGACAGCGTTGTACTCATGACTGATCTGGATATGTTCTTTTTGATGATGAATGCAACACCATTCCTCTTCAATTTGTCATTCCCAGCATAGTCAACCATGTGGTTGTCAGATTCAAAATGGCTTATTGTTAAGTGCTGTCGAGTCGATTCTGACCCATAGCCACCCTATATAGGGTTTCCGAGGAGTAGCTGGTAAACTTGAACCACTGACCTTGCAGTTCAAAGGGCTTTGCAGTTTGGCACATTAACCCACAATGCCACACCAGGATTCCACAAAATGGCTTAGGAACATCCAAATCTCAACCTCCACAATAGAGACCAGAAGAACTAGATAGCTACTGACAAGTACTACTGGCTGTGGCACTCCAGGA